GGATTGGTTGTGGTGGTTGCCATTGGCTCAGCTGTGGTTGTAGGGCTGGTCGTGGTGGCCATGAAATCAGGTGTGGTTGTTGTGGGGTGGTTGTGGTTGTGGTCATTGGATTGGCCGTGGTTGTAGGATTGGTTGTGGTCGTCACCAGATCAGGTGTGGTTGTTGTAGGGTCGGTTGTGGTTGCTTTCCTCAGCTCACCTGTGGTTGTAGGTTCAGTTGTGGTTGTTGTAGGGTCGGCTGCGGTCGTTGTCACCAGATCAGCCGCGGTCGTCACCAGGTGTGTTTGTGGTAGGAGGGTTGGGTCAGAAAGACAGAAGGAAGGAGGGTTGTGATGGAGAGATGTGGGTTGGATGGGTGGAAGGAGAAGGTTTGGGTCAATCAGAAGGAAGGAGGGTTGGGTTGGATGGGTTTGGATTGGAGGGATGGAACAGGAGGGTTGGGTTGGATGGACAGGAGGATGGTTGTGATGGACAGATGTGAGTTGGATGGATGGAAGGGGGTTGGGTTGGATTGGATGGACAGAAGGAAGGAAGGTTGGGTTGGACAAATATGAGGTGGATGGATGGAAGGAGGAGGCTTGGGTCAATCAGAAGGAAAGGATGGGTCAGATGGATTTGGATTGGATGGATGGAAGGGGGGTTGAGTTGGATGGGCAGAAGGAAGGATGGTTGGGTTGGACAGATATGGGTGGGACAGAGGGAAGGAGAAGGTTTGGGTCAATCAGAAGGAAGGGTTGGGTCGAATGGATTTGGATTGGATGGATGGAAGGGGAGTTGGGTTGGATGGGCAGAAGGATGGTTGTGATGGACAGATGTGAGTTGGATGGATGGAAGGGGGGTTGGGTTGGATGGGCAGAAGGATGGTTGTGATGGACAGATGTGAGTTGGATGGATGGAAGGATGGTCATGATAGACAGGTACGAGTTGGATGGATAGAAGGAAGGAAGGTTGGGTTGGACAGATATGGGTGGGACAGAGGGAAGGAGAAGGTTTGGGTCAATCAGAAGGAAGGAGGGTTGGGTTGGATGGATTTGGATTGGATGGATGGAACAGGTGGATTGGGTTGGATGGACAGAAGGATGGTTGGGTTGGACAGATGTGAGTTGGATGGATGGGAGGGGGAGTTGGGTTGGATTGGACAGAAGGAAGGAGGGTTGGGTTGGACAAATATGAGGTGGATGGATGGAAGGAGGAGGCTTGGGTCAATCAGAAGGAAGGGGTGTTGGGTTTGGATGGATTTGGATTGGATGGATGGAACAGGGGGGTTGAGTTGGATGGACGGAAGGAAAGAGGGCTGGGTTGGACAGATATGGGTTGGTCAGACAGAAGAAGGTTTGGGTCAATCAGAAGGAAGGGGGGTCGGGTCAGACGGGTGGAAGAAATGCTGGCACCTTCCTCCTCCCTCAGCCCACGGCCATGTCTGCGTGTGCTGGACATGACCGGCATCCAGGACGGTGCCGAACACGGTCCAGACAGCGTCACCCTGTGGTCGAGGACAGTACTGCTGGCCAAAGCCTGCCTGGAAGCCTCACAACGCCGAACCGAACTGCGTGGCACCAAAGATCAGAAGGGTTCCCCGGTGCCCGCGGTGGAAATCCGCGTCGACCTCTTTGTCAACAGCACCTCCGGGGCCATCCTGAGGGCGGCCCTACGGGGCAGAGGGGCCCTACGCCTGCGCTGCCGTGACTTCCACGCCGAGGAGCTTTCCCTAGGAGGCACCTTGGATCTGTTGGAGGCCTTGGAGCCGGTCGGCTTGCGACGCGTCGAGCTGCGCTTCAACAACCTGGGGTTGGCCGGGCTGTGCCAGGTGGTGCCGCGGCTCGCTCGCTTCCCACACCTGGCCAGCTTGAGGTTGCCCTACAGCAACGTGGATGTGAGGAGGCCTGGGCTGGAAGATGGGCTGAAGGAGCTGGCGGAAGCGTTGGGTTGGTTGCACGGGCTGAGGGAGCTCAACCTGGGCTCGTGCCGGCTGGCGGGGCGGCTGCGGCTGCTGCTGGGGTGAGCACTGCTTTGTGATTCTCATTTCGGGGGGTGATTTGGGGTTTTGGTGCTTGGGGTTCTGTAGATGCTATGAGTTGGCCCTTCTGTGTGGTTTTGTTGAAGGTGAGGATGATCCCAACTCAACCTGTAGGCCATGGAACCACAGGTTGTGGGTTTTATTTGGGGAGGTTTGGGATTTTGGTGCTTGGGGCTCCGTAGATGCCACAAATCTGCCCTCCTGTGGCGTTTGGTTGATGGTGAGGATGGTCCCTACTCAACCAGTTGATCTGTTACAGAGTGATGGGTTTTGATGAAGGTGAGGATGATCCCAAGTCAACCAGTTGGCCATGGAGATGTGGGTTGTGGGTTTTATTTGGGGAAATGTGGGGTTTTGGTTCTTGGGGTTCTGTAGATGCTATGAGTTGGCCCTTCTGTTGGCTTTTGTTGAAGGTGGGGATGACCCCAACTCAACCTGTAGGCATGGAACCACAGGTTGTGGGTTTTATTTGGGGAGATTTGGGGTTTTGGTGCTTGGGGCTCCATAGATGCCACAAATCTGCCCTCCTGTGGGATTTTGGTGAGGTTGAGGATGACCCCAAGTCAACCAGTTGGTTGGTTGTGGGTTTTGGAGAAGGTATGAGTGGTCCCAACTCAACCAGTTGGCCATGGAGATGTGGGTTGTGGGTTTTATTTGGGGAGAGTTGGGGTTTTGGTGCTTGGGGTTCTGTAGATGCTATGAGTTGGGCCTTCTGTGTGGTTTTGATGAAGGTAAGGATGACCCCAACTCAACCTGTAGGCCATGGAACCACAGGTTATGGGTTTTATTTGGGGAGGTTTGGGATTTTGGTGCTTGGGGCTCCGTAGATGCCACAAATCTGCCCTCCTGTGGGGTTTGGTTGATGGTGAGGATGGTCCCAAGTCAACCAGTTGATCTGTTACGGAGTGATGGGTTTTGATGAAGGTGAGGATGATCCCAAGTCAACCAGTTGGCCATGTAGATGTGGGTGGTGGGTTTTATTTGGGGAGATTTGGGGCTCTGGTGCTTGGGGCTCCGTAGATGCCACAAATCTGCCCTCCTGTGGGATTTTGGTGAGGTTGAGG